GAGAGAGAGGGAGAGAGAGAGGGAGAGGGAGAGGGAGAGAGAGAGAGGGAGAGGGAGGGAGAGGGAGGGAGATCGGGAGCTCGGTGGAGCGACGGGTGCTCTCGTGATCTCTCAGGTCGTCTAGTTCGCGCGGAGAGGGAGAGAGGGAGAGAGGGAGAGAGGGATAACGAGGTGTATATCTGTCCAGACCTCAAGCTGACATGCTTTGTATACCCCAATAGAACCAGCCGACGAAGCCCCAGGCCTGCGCTGCGCTTACTCGCGCAACTACGTCATTACCTTCGCCGCCGAGGCTCCGTGACGATCTCAGCTGCAAACGTCGGCGGGTCTTGTCACACTCCCGATAGACGAAAAAAAGGCGTCAAATGCTGTGACCGCCGTGGACCGAGGTCGGACTCAGCGACGGAGCCAGAGTCGACCGACGACGAGTCGATCCAGGCAAGCCAAGAGGCCTCAGCACTACGCTCGTGATGATTTCTGTTGGGACATGCTGGGTCAGGTCCCTGAGACGGCTGCTGGCTCTGAGTTCGAGGACAGCGAGTCCTCCTGGGACGAGGCGGGGGCTCGCAGGGTAAGCTTGGGGTGACATCTAATGAGGTAACACTTACATCTTGAGCAGAAATGGACGCAGGATGATGGCACGGGCACGGCGGAGCAGAAGTGGACCTATGCGTCCGAAGCAGTCTGCCAGGCCTGGCAGCCGTAGTGCACGCGTGACTGAACTTGAGTTAGCTTGACGCATCGAACAGGCCTACGGGGCCGACTTGGACCTCTTACCTGCAGATGGCTGGCTGCGCCCAGTCCTCGGCGGCGCCTCGTTTCTGTTGGTGCTGTTCATTTGATCCCATCACGCGTGAGCCAAGGTTGGACGGACCCGGCCACTCTGAATCATTGGTGGACACGCGGGCAGGCATGGGCGTGGGAGCATGACTTTATGCTTGAAGTCTGATCCATCTAAGCCCTCGTACATGGATAAGCATTGTATGTCTACTGAAAAAGCTCATGTGCTCCTTTGACGAAGCCACGAACATCAGTAATTATGGTAAATGGATCAGCAAAAAGTCATGCTCCCATAGCCCCTCAATTGTTTCACTTCCGGCCAAGCAATTATACCTCGCTGTTGCTGGAAAACCTACACAACTACCATGGGTTCGCCTAAAAAGCATATATATATATATATATCACGAAAGGTAGCCTCCTAGCGGGCTACCTTGAGTTTTACTTTGCGAAGCAAAGGGGCGGGTTGGACCCCTCATCCCTGCACGACCAGGAGAAAGGGACCCCCCCCTCCCGACGACCAGGAGAAAGGGACCCCCCCCC